TAAGATCTTACTTTTTGGTTGAATCTGTATATTTTCCTGCTCGAGTCTCCTGGGTCAAGTGCTTCTCCATCACGAATGGCACTCATCAGTGCTACCAGTTCTTTAGGGACAGACACCTAATGGAGAAGATGAGTCATTTCCAGTTATAAATAAAAGGTTCTATGTATCTTGAACTACTTATGTATTACAAAATAACCTTTTTCTCCCCTTCGTGACTGTATAATTAATAGACTATGAACCCAATAAGACCATATGTATCCATTTTGTAAATAGAATTAACAATATGTAAAACTGACTTCTTTAAAAATGAATGTGAAATATCTATCTATCCATTCATCCATCCATATTAAGAGCATTTGATAGAAACTAGGTTAAAATCCAAGCTCTGCCACTTATTAAATGCATGCACTGGGCAAGTAGGCTCTCTGAGCCTCAGTATCCCTATCAAACAAGAGTAATACTTCATAGGGTTGCTGCAAAGAATAAAAAATATAAACGAAGCGCCCAGTACCATGCCTGGCAATGGTAGCCACCAACCCCCAAACCCCTCTACACCCCAAAACAGATTCAAAAGGATGTCACACTCACTTTAGGACAGAGAATACAGTTTTGAACAATTTCACATTTAAAACATAACCTTGGAGTTAAAAATAGAAGCACTTTTTAAGGGTCTTGAGTGTGAGACACTAAAACTTATTGCTAAGAACCGTGAAATATTGTAATTTTCACTGGAAAGCTCTTTGGATCTTTTCCATAAGATCCTTATGGCACAAACGATATGGTCATTTACATGTGCACCCTAGCTCCATGATTCTGCAAGTTTTATTTCTAATAAGTGCCAGAATCAAGGACTAGCCTCTGAATATTAATGATCTAGCAAGCATCCATTCCAGTAAGTGCCACTTCCAGGTTTTCCTTGCACGGCCCAGTGCTCAAAGCTATTACTGTGGCAGGCACAGAATCAGAGGCCCCGGAACCAAGTGCTGTAATAACCCCAGATCCTAGAGCTAAATGCATTCAGGCAACAATTTGGTTCCGCTTCCTCCTTTCATTTACCCAGTGATACGTTATACAGGTGAGACGCCTGAGGTCGTGAGGTCCTAAGACTTGTCCAAGGTCATGCAGTTACTGAGTAGTGGAGAAGAGCCCGGAAACTGAGATTCTCTGCCTCCAAGGGTAGTTTTCTATAGTGCCACACTAGGTGTAGGTAGGCTGTGGGGCGATCTGGGAATCAAGAAGTCCCCATAAATACAGGTTGGTCCTTAATTCTACTTACTTGATCTACGTAGGTCTGGCCTCTGGGACAGTATTTATTTATTAATTATAACCCACCTTTTCCTAGTAGTATCTTATGACAAGAATAAGCTGGAAGTGAATACAGACAAGTCTGCACTATATGCTCATTAGGACACCTAAATAGATGTTTATAGGGCTATAGAGTGCATTATAGAACTTTTAGTCCTGCAAATGTCAATTTCTAAAAGTTAAAAAAAAAAAAAATTGTTCCCAAATTCTTGTTTTTAGTTCCAGAATTCTATATTCCTTTTAAAATCAGAATGGTACTCATTTCCCTTTCTTATACTTATGTTCAAGACTGCCTTTAAAACAGAAATTCAAAATGAGGCCCACAGTTTCCTTATTCCATATTTCAGGCAGAATTTAATTACGTGAAATATCTCCATCCATAAAAATGTAATCATTAGCTCTGCTTATCATTTATACCATATTTACATACAGGGATCATTTAATTCCGTGAATAATTTGTGGTTTTTACCTCTGCGGTGTAGGTTAATTTCACAGACGGAGTGTCCTGGCAAGGAAGAATTGCTCTACAGTGTATAGCCTGGGAAGGGAAAGAAAAACAAAGAAACAGTTATTTCTGTTCTTAGAAACCAAGTCACTAAGAAATCATTAGAGCTGCAGCACTGTTCTTAGAGACATTCTTTTAAAAAATAAAAATACACTTCACATTCCTTGGGATCTTTTGAAGTAGCAAAAATTTGTGGATTTAAAAAATCTGATTTTCCATTATAATGCATGGTTAATGCTCACAGTTCAGTTGAAGGATGAAGCAATGTTAAACAGTGTCTCCTACTCTGTGCTCTGAATACTAGTAGCACCCAGGGAGAAGCTGTTAGGAACCCTGAGAACAAAGGGCTATTTGGTGAAATAAATTTGGGAACTGTGGATTACAACGTCCCTGTCTTGGAGAGTCACCAGGAACATTAGCCTCCTAAAGTCTCTGAAAAGACCTACAGTCAGAGAGTTGCCTGATTTCTCACACTTATTTTCACATGAAACCCATTTTTCTCTGGTTAGCTATCAACAACAAATGGGATGCCAGTGTTCTGAGGAACACAGCTTGGGAAATGTTGCCAGAGTCTTGATGTTTCAGTCTTGCAGCAAACTTTGAAAGTAAAAACTAGGAAGAAAAGGAAGGAGAAGGAACAGGCCTTCTCCATACCATGCAGACAAATGTATTCATATAACATGTAAAGTGCTTTACTTCCATATCAATCTGTCATAAACATTGGGACCATCGAGAAGAGTGGCCAGAGCACCTACGATTTTATGTCTTGGCCTGTTTACAAATAAGTGTATCTACTGTTGGTGAACAAAGGAACCCAGCCTCACTGAGACAGTCCACTGAGCTAAAGGAAAACTGATACTAACATCTCTCTCTGAAGTTGTTTAAGTCCTAGACAGACTTCATGCCACCACAAACTTCCTTAAAACTCCCACACGCCAGGCTTTTTTAACTTTTATTTCAGATCGAGTAGATTCTCCAAAGATATGAGACTCCAAATGACCTCTAGATAGATTAAGTAGAACTAGAAGAACCACCTAGTCTCTGGTTAGGTGACTCAGCAATGCCAAGGGGGTTTTATATGTATTATATTTCACTGGATAACATCAAACCTAGGCAAACATGCACAGAGAACAACTGTAAGCAAATTCATTAAACAAAATCATGTCTACATCCTTCCTATCAACTGCATTAATACCTGAATCTACCTGAAATAACTTTTCTCTATTTCAAAAACTGGTGCCAATAAGAAATAGAATAATATATTCAAAATTCACATTCTTGTGGCTCATGAATCTTGCATTTCTTGCCAACTTTAGTTTATGGACATTATGTAAGAAATACTGAGAATCAGGTATTATTAACAGAGAGTACACAAAATGTACATTTTTGCCTAGAACATTTTATCTCTTCCAGATTATTAAACTAAGGATTTCTTAGATTAAAAAGAAACTTCAATTGACAGTAGAAAGTAAACATGTCTAATTCATGTGCCAACATTGCTTCCTTTTTTATAGACTTACATTCAAATTTGAACCCACCATAATATCTGAGACACTGAAATATTAAGAGGATTACAATATGCAAAGTACCTAGTATAATGCTTGGAAATAAAGTAAATGTTTAATGAAGTGAATTCCTTTAATTGTAAACTATTTACTAACAGAATTAGGTTTCTTTTCTTTCAGAATAGAGTTTGATACTTATTTTTATGACAGGTTATCTCTCATTGTATGTTTTATTCTTAGTTTTTGAACAGAAAACAGAAATAGTTTAAATCATATTGTCTTTAAAAGTACATTTAATAATATTTACATAATATATACATTTGTAAATGTGTAAGAAAAATCTGGACAGGCTATAACCAACTCAATGGTGGTTACCTCTGGGCAATGGTGTCTGGAGAGAATTAGAACATCTGATCTTTCACTTTCCATTTCTTGATTATTAGCCATTTTTGTAACCAATACCTATTTTGTTTCATTAATGTTTTCCTTTCATTTTATGACCATTTATTGAATGCCCACTCTGTGTCAAGTTCTGTGCTAGGTGCTAGAGCTTTAAATAGAAATACGACCTATGCCTATAGTCCTATCTAGGTAGACATATTTTCAAATTAAAGGAAGCTTCTTTTTGTAAAGTAACACATAAATGTGTTAATAGTGAGAGATGTAAATAAAAATATATGTTGTTTTTACAATAAGATAAATTAAAATGCTATCTTAAGTAAGACCCAGGTATCCATAAGACCACTGTTCATTTTGCTTCATTCAACTTCATGAGCTGGGAATAACATGTCATTCCACATCCTTTTTACCTGGCATTGACTAAAGAGATATGGATGTCTCTTCCCAGAAGTTTGTTCAGGAGTCAGCCACTGAAGAGCAGAAGATTTTGGAGACGTCTCAAAAGAAATTTCTATAACGACTTCTTGATTTCTATATAAAACAAATAAACAGATTAGTAGAGTGTAATTCAATCTAACTAAAATTTGAATTCATACCACATGTACTGAATAGTATAAATAATATTTTACGAGGTCTCGTTACCAATTGAGAGAAAGCTCTAGTAAAGTCTAGCATTCTAAATGGGTAAGTTTGACGCTCATGTTCCTACCTGAATGTCAGCCAGGGGGTCCTTTTCACTCTACCAGGCTAACTCTTTGTAAAGCCCGAACAGGAACTAATATTAATATTAATTATTAATATAATAAGAATTAATATTAGCTGAATACCTCACTGTGTGTCATGTGCTTTTTTTGTTTTGTGATATCATGTAATCTCTTATCATAGGGGGAAAGTGGAAGAAATAATTTTGGGCCTTTGACTAACACAGTAGTGGGTACCAGAGCAATGGAGAACGGTGCTGATCTGCAGACTATTACTGGATAAGGTAAGTCAAGAAACTAAGGGACTGCCTGTTAGCTCAGGTGGTTAGAGAGCAGGGTGCAGTGCTCATATTGTCGGTTTGATCCCCGCATGGACCACTGAGGTGCGCCCTCCACAACTAGATTGAAACAACTACTTGACTTGGAGCTGATGGGTCAAAAAAAAAAACTTTACAAAAAAAAGAAATTGAAAATAAGCTTTTAGAAAATTTTAGAGTCATTTTTATGTTTGTGGAACCTAGTGATAAAAAAATGTGTGCTTATACGTGGTCTCTTCTTCCTAGTATTTCATTTGTATTGCATTTTACAAAAGTATCAGCCTGTGACGGGTTGGTAATAACAAAAACTGGTCCTTTGCTGGGATAGTATGAGCAGCATTGATAATGAGGAAATAGCAAAAGCTCTGGAGACCAGCAGCTGTGCTTGTGTTTGAATCCTGACTCTACCACTTACTGGTGCTGTGAACTTGGGCAAATTACTTCACCTCCCTATGCCATAGTTTCTTCATCTGTAGAAAGGGGTTAATGATATCTACCTCACAAATTATGTGTGGGTGTTTCCTTTCGTTTTCATAAGTGGGATGAAAATGCACGAGAACACCGGCCACTGAAAGATGGCGGTAGATAGTCCTTGTTCTAGGCCAATGGTTTTCTATCCTTTTGCCTTCCCCAATATATCAAGGAGTGGGATATACTCCCAATATGACAATTCTGGCTATTATTTTCTTGAATGATTATTTCATTTCTCTGAGGTTCCCTTTCCTCATGTGTAAAATGCAGATCATACTCTAATCTTTACTGTAAGGATTAGGTAAAAAGATTGCATCTAAGCTCTTATCTCAAGATTGCTACACAGAAATGGTTCTATGTTGTCATTGTTATTATTCCATTAATAAAAGTGGCTGGCCTCTGGGGAAAAGGCGAAAAAAGTGCAGTTTGTAAAAGCTTCCCAGGTGATCCTGAAATGCCTCCTTCACGGCATGCTCCCACCATCACATTTTACTAGATATTAGTAAAATGCTGAGTAAAGAAGACACAGTTATCAAAAGTCCTATTCTTGAGTATTTCATACAACGGATTTCTTTAGTATCTTAAGAACCTATAATTTTCACTACAAGCTTCAATCTGTATAGCATATCTGTAGGAGTAGTGTACCAATTACTACATGCACAAAAACTAAAAATAGGAAAGGAAAAAATGTCTAAGTTCATTAAAAATATATTTCCCCCATTACTTAGCTATAAAAGAGAAAGATGAGGGCC